GCTGCTATCGAACTATCGACCTTCCGTTCTCTCTAACAGTTTGTGTCAACCTATTTATATAGAGACAATGTCCCAGTTTCACTGGAGGTACAAGTTACAAAAACGTCACGACTAAGGGGTACTGACAAATTGGCAACAGATCGTGAAGTGCAATCTCACTTATATTTTTTTTTTTGTCGTTTTTTTTAATTTCGTTGATGGGATGAATACGGGAGCCTTTCAGGGCCATTTTTTTATATTACTTTCTTGAAATTTCAAGATACTAAGGTGCAATTTCAAGTTATTATCTTGATTTTCCAAGATGACTATCTTGCAATTTCAACTTAGTATCTTGAAATTTCAACTTATTATCTTGAAATTCCAAGATCATTTAATTTATCTTGAAATTATAACTTACATATCTTAAAATTTCAAATTAGCATCATGAAAGTTCAAGATGATTATCTTGAAATTTCAACTTAGTATGTATCTTGAAATTTCAAGAATTTGATTTTTAAAAAGTGGCCCTAAAAGGCTCCCGTAGATGGGGGTTGTTTGGCAAAATTGAAATACAATCAGAAAATCAGAAAAATAAATCAATATTGATAATGTACTTTAGAAGTTAAAATATTTACATAGTACGACTTGATAACTTGTATCTAATGGTAAATAATTTCTACTTCATTTCTATAAACAGAATAATGATAACGTATTATTGTGACATTATTAAGCACTTACAACCTATGTCTGGATATTGTCTATGTGTGAATTAGTGACATTGCCTGTGTGAAATCTGGATACACATTAACTGTTAAATTGATACGCATGGTACAACTTGGGGCAGGAAACAGAGTAGTAGTACTTTTTAAAGACCTGATTAAATACCTACCTTCCTTGCCCCCGCTTACCGTTTACGGATATTGAGGTAAAGATGTGATGAGTTATTGAAAATATTTCATTGAACAGATTAACAAAAACATTTAAATTAAATTCCAGAATTCCAAGTTTCACAACGAGATCTAAGCTTAATGATATATATCTACGTCTGAGATCGCTTTCTGAAGTGGCCCCAATGGCGTGAATGAAGTGCGCTTAACGCCGCTTTGAACGGTATTCAGTTATATGACGGCATGTCAGCTTGATGTAGGAGGAGGTCTGAAGCGACGCAGATCAAAGAGGTTTACCTCTCTGATGAAACAGTGGATATGGTCAGGATCAATCGTTTAACGCCGCTTAAAGTAGTTTCTAGTTATACAGCGTCTCAGCTTAATGTGGGAGGAAAGCCCGAAGTGATGCAGGTCTCAGACGTTTACCACTTTAGTGAAACCCACGTGCGAGGTTGTGGAGCTGACAAACCTTGAACATAATTAGGGAGACCTGGGATTTGAACCCACGATCATACAAGTAGGTTTCTGTCGTGCCCAAGGGGCGTAACTCTGCACAGCGAATTGCGGCGCCTTATTGACAACTGGGCATCCGTGCCCCATCAATTGTACAAACGAGAGTTTCAAATGTTGTGGTGTCGTAACAGCGCCCACAGCATACGGTTGAACTTTAAGGAGGGAGTTGGGGGTGGGGAGGGGGAGATATGTTCATGAATTCTCCAAAGCAGTAAATATTATTAACAGAGGGCAGTTACCAAATGTTGATAACAGCTCTCTTTGAAATAGTATGAGGGAATATAACTCCTGGCGATGAAAAGGTTCAGGAAGCCATAAAACGTAATGCATCGCTAATTAGTACATGTTGTTCTTCGTTTGAGTTTCATTCCCATATATGTAAAGTAGTCAAAGATACCCCTCGCAGCTGGAAACTAAGACCAGTTTGAACACGACTTCCGGTTTAATCTCCTTTGTATCAGATTTCCTTTGCGTTCATCATGAATATAACTTAGTGAAGTTGCCCACTCTGGAATGGAATTCAGATCCAAAGGGGAAATCTTATCATTTTTTCCTGTCCTATGCCCCCCTTTAATGTCAACTTAAAAGACAACAGCTATAAGACTCACCGACACAAGAAGACATCTGTACCATCATAGGCGGATCCTGTTTGAAGCTACCTCAACAGTTTCAAAGACAATCAGGTGAACTAAACGTAAATAATAACAACACTAATACTAATTCATCTGTTGGTAATATTTTCCACAAAGTTACACTGAACTCGAATAGCAAAATCATAAAGTATACTCCCTCCCCTTTTTCAAAGTTGTTTCCGCACTGTTTGCATTTGACAGTCCGTTTCAAGGGTGGGGGCACGGGTGGCCCAGTCGTCTAATGCGCCGCGATTCGCTGTGCAGAGTTGCGTCCCTTGGGCACACCAGAAACCTATGATTGTGGGTTCGAATCACGGTTCGCTCCGATTATGTTTCTTGGTTTGTCAGCACCATACCCGTGCTCGTGGGTTTCACCGAAGTGGTAATCGTCTGAGACCTACATCAAATCGGGCTTTACCAACCACATTAAGCTTTCACGCCGCGAAAAACTTAAATACTGTTAAAATCGGCGTTAAACCCAAGTTACTCACTCACTCACTCACTCACTCACTCACTCACTATTTCAAGGTTTGGATGCATGCACCTAAGGATTCTTCTGTACTCGTTTAACTCTCGGAGGCAATGGACGGAATCCGGTACACAATCATGTATCATGTGCAGTTCCTAGATATCTTGTCTGGTTGTCTTGTTAAGTTGACATTACCTTATTCAGCTAAACCTAGTTAATCAGGACCTCTTCCGGACGATTACTGATGGGAGCGTCTATATTTAACCAAACTAACATTGTTACGTACCAATAATTCGTTAATCCAGAAAGTATTTAATCCTGACTATATCACATGCAATGGCTCCGTCTGGATGAACGAAGTAACACTGTCCACAGTGTTGATCTGATGCAGATGATGATGGCAAGGTATCAGCACACCAGGGTTTGCTAATCTTGTTTTACACTACAGTCTGAAGTTTGGAAGTTGAGTACTAGCACATTTTGATCACAGTCAGGGGCTGGCGAGACTGTTTGGAGCTGCATGGTAAGAATGTATTGATTCACAAACATTAAGGTGATACTGAGTTAACGACATTTGAGGCTACTGTAACACATCGGGCGGCTTGCTGGAGAACAGAGAGTAAGGGGGCTTATGCGCCAACTCTAGCAGTATTCGGGGATACTTGGAATGAGTTCACAAATTAACCCTTGCAAGAAGTCAAACTCGAATCTGTTGTAGGACAGGCGAACGCACCCACCATCGATCTAACCTACCACTGCGTAAGGAGAAAGGAAGGTATCTGTAAATGAAAGGGACAACTAAAATATAAAAAAAAGTCGTTTTAATCAAGAAGAAAAGGAAAGAACTTGAGGGCACACGTAAAAAGAAGTAATTACTCAAAGTTGTGTCATTACCCTTTCGGCTAAAATGCCTAGAAGTCAATACTTGTCATGATCAGAAGATAAACGAGTCGAAAATCTGCACAGAGATAGGCACCATTTGGAGGAAAACCCATGATACTATTGAACATCACAGTTCATCACAATTTGAAGGTTTTTTTCAATGTCATGACACCGAAGAAATAGGAAAACGTGTGGTTAGTGTAGTCTTTGAAGTAGAGAGTAGTAGCGACATAAACCTCCACGTCTACATCTAAGACAATCTCTACTGACACATTAATTACGTCCTCTGCTACACCTATGTCATTATTTCTTCATACACAGTATGAAGTTGGTGTCCTTCGACTTAATATTACTGTTTGTTTGTTTGTTGTGTAACGCCACACTCAGCAATATTCCAGCTATATGGCGGTCATATTTCTGTAACAGGTAGGTGGCAATTAACGGGATAAGGGTGCATGTCATCGTATCCTTATTGCGTAGATCGACGCACATTGCACATTCAAACGGTTAAACACCCAAAACTGTTACACACATCCAAATCCAATACCTAAGTATACAATCGTCCATCACATTCATTACAACAGATGAGTGAGATTAACGCCGCTTTTATCAGCATTTCAGGGTACGTCAGTTTAATGTGGGAGAGAAACAACGAAGGTCGTAAACGTTAACTTTGAAATCGACAACACAGCCAGCTGTTCCTGTGTGCTAAGGGACCCACCTCTGCACAGTGTGTTGCCCCAATTTATGGTGCGTATATGAACATTACTTGTTAGTCTCCCTAGATCAACTTTACTCATTAATCTACATAGATCAACGGTACTTCTCGGTCATGACTTCATTTCATAAAGATAGCCCAGACTGATCAATATAACCAATGTCCTCTCAAAGTGCACTTGAACCCCCTAAGGAAACATTGGCTTAGTAAACTGCTTTATTTAACCTTTTTAAACTTAAGATAATATAATTAAACACGACGAGCAGTATTTGTATTCGTATTTCAGTCAGAATAAGAAAGGGAACGTGATAGGATAATTTGACTATAGTACCTTGTCTTTAAAATTTGTCTTGGAATGAGGTACAGGATCAAGCTCCTATTAAGATGAGGCGTGTTACTGCATGAATCTTGCGTTGAGAAAGGTCTTGGTCTCAATGGTAAAATGCTTTGTATTTTCATGAAGAGGCTGACTCAGGACACCTTCGTCTTCCTTTATGGTGCTAAACCTTTCTCACAGAGGAAGGCTTCTGTACGATTTTCATAGATCTAGAAAAAGGCTGTTATATCATCCTCACATTGGTTGGATGCAAAGATACTATTCTCACAGAAGTAGGTTGTCACATCATTCTCCCAGTGGTATCTTCTATTATCAGTCCCACAAAGACAGGCTCCTGTACTACTGTCACAGAGTAAGACTGCTTTACCTTTCTCACAGAGGTAGGGTGTTGTATTACTGTTACAGGGTGAGACAGCTATACCTTTCTCGCAGAGGTAGGTCGTTGTATTAATGTCACTGAGTGGGACCGCCAAAATACCCTTCTCACAGAGGGAGGTTGTTGTATTACTGTCACAGAGTGGGACTGCCGTAATACCCTTCTCACAGAGGTAGGTTGTCGTATTACTGTCACAGAGTGAGACTGCTATACCTTTCTCACAGAGTAAGCTGTTGTGTTACTGTCACAGAGTGAGACGGCTATACCTTTCTCACAGAGGTAGGCTGTTGATTTACTGTCACAGAGTGAGACTGCTATAATACCCTTCTCACAGAGGTTAGCTGTTGTATTCCTGTTACAGAGTGAGACTGCTATACCATTCTCGCAGAGGTAGGCTGTTGTATTAATGTCACAGGGTGAGACTGCTATACCTTTCTCACAGAGGGAGGTTGTTGTATTACTGTCACAGAGTGGGACTGCTATAATACCATTCTCACAGAGGGAGGTTGTATTACTGACACAGAGTGAAACTACTATACCATTCTCACAGAGGTAGGTTGTTGTATTAATGTCACTGAGTTGGACTGCTATAATACCCTTCTCACAGAGGGAGGTTGTTGTATTACTGTCACAGAGTGGGACTGCTATAATACCATTCTCACAGAGGTAGGTTGTCGTATTACTGTCACAGAGTGGGACTGCTATAATACCATTCTCACAGAGGGAGGTTGTATTACTGACACAGAGTGAAACTACTATACCATTCTCACAGAGGTAGGTTGTTGTATTAATGTCACTGAGTTGGACTGCTATAATACCCTTCTCACAGAGGGAGGTTGTTGTATTACTGTCACAGAGTGGGACTGCTATAATACCATTCTCACAGAGGTAGGTTGTCGTATTACTGTCACAGAGTGGGACTGCTATAATACCATTCTCACAGAGGGAGGTTGTATTACTGACACAGAGTGAAACTACTATACCATTCTCACAGAGGTAGGTTGTTGTATTAATGTCACTGAGTTGGACTGCTATAATACCCTTCTCACAGAGGGAGGTTGTTGTATTACTGTCACAGAGTGGGACTGCTATAATACCCTTCTCACAGAGGGAGGTTGTTGTATTACTGTCACAGAGTGGGACTGCTATAATACCCTTCTCACAGAGGGAGGTTGTATTACTGACACAGAGTGAAACTACTATACCATTCTCACAGAGGTAGGTTGTTGTATTAATGTCACTGAGTTGGACTGCTATAATACCCTTCTCACAGAGGGAGATTGTTGTATTACTGTCACAGAGTGGGACTGCTATAATACCATTCTCACAGAGGTAGGTTGTCGTATTACTGTCACAGAGTGGGACTGCTATAATACCATTCTCACAGAGGGAGGTTGTATTACTGACACAGAGTGAAACTACTATACCATTCTCACAGAGGGAGGTTGTTGTATTAATGTCACTGAGTGGGACTGCTATAATACCCTTCTCACAGAGGGAGGTTGTTGTATTAATGTCACTGAGTGGGACTGCTATAATACCCTTCTCACAGAGGGAGGTTGTATTACTGACACAGAGTGAAACTACTATACCATTCTCACAGAGGTAGGTTGTTGTATTAATGTCACTGAGTGGGACTGCTATAATACCCTTCTCACAGAGGGAGGTTGTCGTATTACTGTCACAGAGTGAAACTACTATACCATTCTCACAGAGGTAGGTTGTTGTATTACTGTCACAGAGTGGGACTGCTATAATACCCTTCTCACAGAGGGAGGTTGTATTACTGACACAGAGTGAAACTACTATACCCTTCTCACAGAGGGAGGTTGTATAACTGTCACAGAGTGAGACTGCTGTGCCATTCTCACAGAGGTAGGCCGTTGTATAACTGTCACAGAGTGAGACTGATAAACCTTTCTCACAGAGGTAGGTTGTTTTATGTGTCCCATAGTGCGGAGCTGATTATGATTCATGTTGGTTAATTTCCTAAGTAGACAAACGGCTATAGCTAACCAGGAGAGAGTCCCGGGAGAGTGGTGCCCAACGCTGTTGATAATGTGAGGAATGATGTGAACGTTTCCTATAACAACCACAAGCGCCGAAATCAATATCAAAATTTTGGGAGTTCTATGGTTGAACATGGCCATGCTTCTGAGGTCTTTGGGGGTCATCATTTCCGGGGTTTACTGTAGATGTCAGCTTCAACAAATATAACACAGATACAGCTGTATCAAATGCTTTACATCCGTCATATAGTCAAGGTGAACATTTCAACGGGCATTTGCTGATACAGGTGTTTCTCCAGAGTAGCATCACTTTGTGTTGTTTGATCAGTGTAACACTCACACAGATAAGGGCATAGGGAATTCATCATGGCAACAACACTGTCATAACATCAGCATATTTTACACGAGGTAGACGGTTATTAAGACCTCAGATATTTGAAGAAGTTTAACCACTCCCGCACTTGTACTACATAGGAACCTCGTTAATCCACATTACCGGTCTTACCCGGTCACTTTACGTTCCACTGTATTGACAGTCTCGACACATGGGGGTCCAGTCGGCAAAAGCGACGAAGTTGGTTGTACAGAGAGTTGCGATCATTAGGCGTGCCAGAAACCTATGACCGTGGGTTCGAATCTAATATTTGCCCTAAAACTGTTTCTAGTTTTCTCAGCACCATTTTTTTCACCAAAGTGGTAGTCACCTATGACCTCCAGTCTCCCGGAGGTGAAGGAGTTAACTGACTATAAAACTTAAGTTTCCACCCTTGTCGAACTAGGCTGGAATTTGATGGCCCGATCGCAGCGCGATCAGTGTCTATTACGAGTTATATCCCTTCTATGTCCCTGCTCCTGACCAATCAGATTCAACCTCTCATATCATATGCATTTGCATCAAACAAAATGGCGGCGCCAAGTCAAGACGGTCTAATCAATAATCAAAATGTATATTGTAATAAGACGGGTCTTACCTCACTAAGTGCATCAAATTACTTGCGCATATTAATAAAAATCATGAAAAGTTATGTCGACGCCCAGTTGACGGTACACATGTTTTGCAAATCCTGCAATCGGCTCGGCATTTGCAATGCTATTTACGAAACAGATGTCCATTTCGTGACGCGATTTGTGATTAGACCAAGCATAGACTAGTTAGTCAAGCCAAAATACAACACAGAAATGCCAACCTAGTTGGGCAAGGGTTGAAACTGGACTTTTATAGTCAGTTACCTCCCTTGCCGCGGGAAAATGATGATCAAGGGACGATTATTTAAACCCGTCGCCATTTAGGCTGGAATATTGCTGAGTGCGGCGTTGAAGAAACAAAGACGTATGTTTAATATAAAGTCAAAAGACACACACACACACATCACACACAGCCACCACCTGCCAAATGCATACAGCCCCCCCCCCCCCTGCCATACCCCCCTCCCCCCCCCCAACCCCAACCCCACCCCACCCCCTCGCGGGAGCAGTGGACCCTGTTACCGCCACGTGGCCCCTGACGTCAGCGTCGAGTTCCTTCACATTTTGTGATTTATCATTATCTTCACTTATCCATCAAGTGGACAGGAAACACTTTATACCACTGCTGTAGGGCCATCTATCTTAAGGGTAGGTCGACTGAAGCACAAGAAGATAACGGCATTTAATACTTAATAGTCTTTTGATGATACGCGGAATGTGATCGCGTCAAGGATTTCACATCAAATATTTGTTTCCAAACACATTTAAGTTGTGTAAGTAATAAATACTTATATTCGAACATACACATTGAATAACATCTGCACTTTTATTTTACCCTGAGTAGGCTAAGTTTGATCAACATTTCCGTAAATAATGTTGTTTTCGGGTTTTACGGGATTTTAAATATACTACTAACTACTTAAAGACAACTACTATGGTATATGAAAAATTCGTGTGGCCCTTTACCTATTTGAGTAGTATACACGATATGGTCTACTTATTATAACTTAACGTACAACGTTACTGCTTAAAAGTACAAGTATGATTTATGTAAATGACACAATGTTGTTAACACTTTGCCCAGGGATGAGAATTTCTTATTAATAAAACATGTATGGTACTCATATTAATAAATATTGAAATATTTTTCTGTTGAGTTCTTGACTATCAGATACTGTAAAACATTAGCTTGTCCGTGATGTGGTAGATTTGTCAGTTGTAGGTGACTTCTTGTATATAAATATTCATCGGTCGTAAAACAAACCACATTCCGTTGTATGGTGTGTAACACTGATACGGTTAATATTAAGTAGTCGACAGCTCGTGCTCCTGCTTGTCAGTGACGTAAGCTGTTTACGTCATCCATTTCACCCGTCGAGATGTTCCACGCAGCTGCTGCTGCTACTTCCGGTTATACATGTCGTTGACGATTCGGGAGGACAATTATGCGTAAATCGTTTAAGAAGCTGACGTAGTTGTGACGTCAACGAAAACCACGCGTCCATGACGAATTCTTCTGTGACTTACAAATAATCATAAATTGTCTTTTATTATTTTGCAAATATTTCAAATTGTTTTATTGGTTAATGGTCCTCTTTAAAAAGGTGTTAATGTCTACACCGTTTTCAAGCTATATGAAAACCGATATACCCATTGTGTCCTATACATTAATGTCATGTACATTTTATGAGAAGGACCAGAGCAGTCAAGGGGCTTACACTTGTTTCGTTGTGTTGATTTAAAGGACGTCATGACTTTAGCAACAGGACCATACTTTCACGTGAACCATATAACAGAGGGTTTTATTGTGAATACTAAACCTGAGATACAATTGAGTGAGTGAGTGAGTATGGTTTTACGCCGCTTTTAGCAATATTCCAGCAATATCACGGCGGGGGACACCAGAATTGGGCTTCACACAATGTAACCATGTCGGGAATCGAACCCGGGTCTTCGACGTGACAAGCGAACGCTTTAACCACCAGGCTACCCGGCCGCCCCTTATGGGGATTAGAACAGTTCCGAACAGTCTTGTGCGCAAGTGTTGTTTTACCACGAGATCGTGGAGCTCTCCCGGCCAGTGTGTAATCTATATTTAACGTATGTTTCATCATCTCGCTATTCCAAATGTTTATACCGACCTAACAGCTATCCATAACCATCTGACGTGCGAAATGTTTGAGTGTGAGTGAAAGGGTTTTAATGCCACTTAAATCATTTAAGTTATATCGAGGCGTGTCAGCTTGATGACGGAGGAAATCACAAAGTGATGCCAATCTTAGAAGTTCACCACTTTGGTTAAAACACACACGAGCATTAGCGTGGTGTTATCAAACCTAGAAACATGATCAGGGCGAATCGGGATTCGAACCCTCGAACATAGGTTTCTAAGATATTGTAAAGCAGGTTATTTAATAAGCATCGACCTTAAACTCAGCTCACTGAAAAACGTGTACGGACTATGTATCTTTTGTAGTGAGAGAGTGAGTGAGTGATTGGTTTTACACTGCTATGTACCGTATGTCAGTTAGATCACGGCGTGGCATCTTGACGAAGGGGAGAGTGAATGAGTGATTGGTTTTACACTGCTATGTACCGTATGCCAGTTAGATCAGGGCGTGGCATCTTGACGAAGGGGAGAGTGAGTGAGTGAGTGATTGGTTTTACACTGCTATGTACTGTATGCCAGTTATATCACGGCGTGGCATCTTGATGAAGGGGAGAGTGAATGAGTGATTGGTTTTACACTGCTATGTACCGTATGCCAGTTATATCACGGCGTGGCATCTTGACGAAGGAGAGAGTGAGTGAGTGATTGGTTTAACACTGCTATGTACCATATGCCAGTTATATCACGGCGTGGCATCTTGATGAAGGAGAGAGTGAGTGAGTGATTGATTTTACACTGCTATGTACCGTCTGCCATTTATATCACGGCGTGGCATCTTGACGAAGGAGAGAGTGAGTGAGTGATTGGAGTTACACTGCTATGTACTGTATGCCAGTTATATCAAGGCGTGGCATCTTGACGAAGGAGAGAGTGAGTGAGTGGGTACGCTTTTAGCAATATCCCAGCAACGTCACGGCGGGAGACACAAGAAATTGGCTTCACACAATGTACCCATGTGGGGAATCGAACCCGGGCCTTCGGCGTGACGTGTGAATTGACAAAGGAGGAAAGCCCACGTGATATAGTTTAAGTCTTAGACGTTTACCACGGATGAGGTCTTGCAAACCAAAAACATAATCAGGGTTAATCTGTTATTCTGACCCGGGATCATTTCTGCCCCACAACTGTTGAAGAAAATAAAGAAATATATGGGAACTGAATTTGGACATGAGTGATATCATTGATATGGGTTGTCCAGTAGACCCATAGACATGGGCATTGGGGCGGTGGGGTAGCCAACGTGAAACCTATTTCTGGTATCCCCCGCCGTGATGTTTTTTGTTTGTTTTGTTTGTTCCAGCTATATGACGGCGGTCTGTAAATAATCGATTCTAGAGTAGACAACACAGTGATTGATATCATGAGTATCAATCCAAGCAATAAGGATAGGTTGGCACGCTGTTATTGCTAACAGTGTAGTGAATCTGTGCACATGGAACACAACCAACCAACAACACAACAATTCCACACACACTTGATCACCTCTAGACATGTGGTCTTAAAGTCACATACTGACTCCACGACACAGGTGTCTCAGTGGCCTAAGGCGCCTCAAGTCATTCAACTTACGTCCCTTAATTGTGTCAGGGTCGGCTGACCGTTGATCTTAATACTCGATTGGCCCCCATCTAAGGCCATCATCATTCCTGTTTACCTAATTTAACACTGATTAATCAAAATAAGAATAATGTTGATTTCCATTTCTGGTGTGACATGAAAGCTTGCCCTTCATGAGTATATGAAAGCACAGTTGCACTTTGAACTGCCTCCGAAAGGAAAAAAACCACAAACACGTGGGCGGATGTTGTGTCAGGTAGACGAAATTGATGCAATAAAAAGTATAGAAAGAGTCGCTCACAGAAACAGACTGTCGCATGTGTTGTTGTGTTTATGACATTGTTCAAAGAGGGAGGGGGTGGGGTGGGGTGGGGGGTGGGGGGTGGGGGGGCAATGGAATAATTCAAGCTTAAATATATATTGCATTTGGGAGTTTCAGTTTCAGTTTCGCTTAGATGTCAACTTTTGACATAACAACAGCCGATATAAGGTAAACACAACAACTCAAAAGTAAATTACCAAATGACGCATTAATAACGCGTTGTGTTCGAAGTATACACCATGTAACTACAGATTGTATTATGAACACATATCAAACTATGTCACGAGTGATAGCAGTTGGTTTCTGAACATGAACGGGCGCACATACCTGTATTTCACGAACGAACCAGAACTGACAAATACACTGCCTGGCAAAAGAAAGTATACCCCAATGAAAAATGAAACAAACCAGAAATGAGTGAGTGAGTGAGCTTGATTGTACGCCGCTTCTAGCAATATTCCAGCAATATCACGGCGGGGGACACCAGAAATGGGCTTCACACATTGTACCCATGTCGGGAATGGAATCCGGGTCTTCGGCGTGACGAGCGAACGCTTTAACCACTAGGCTACCCGACCGCCCAAAA